TGTCTGGTGTGACGGTGAGGCTGTCATGTGCTGCTGTGTTGGCGTTTGCCGTGTTGGTATACTTGCTTGTATGTGGTTGCGGGGGTTGAGCTGCGGCTCTTTGGTCCCGCCTCTCAACTGTCAATCAACTGGTGTACAGGTTCTTGAGCCTACTGGGCTCTTTGTCTACATCTGAAACTGTGTATGGAGTCAGCCTCCACCACATCACTGCCTAATGCATTCCATTTGTTAATTACCTTGAGATTGAAAAACATTGTTTGTAACGTCTCTGTGGCTCATCTGGGTACTCAGTGTCCACCTGTGTCCCCTTGTGCGTGGTCCACCCGTGTCTGTCCTCTGTGATGTGATGGTGCTTACCTAACAGTGCCTATGGGGGAGTGAGGTCTGGCTCTCCATGCCCCGCCTAACTAGCCATGTTGTACCTTCTGCATTACAACTTAATTATTTTCACGTTCAGATTATTTGTAGAATCTGGCTTTGAAGTTGTGGATGGAAGTGACTTCCACAACTTCTTTTAGTGAATTCCACTTCTTGACCCATCCGTACAGGGTACCAGTATTTCCTTACATTCCTACGGCTCATTTGCGTATCCAGCTTCCACTTGTGTCTTCTTGTCCTACTTTTTCTCAATTTTGAAGAGGCTAACCTTATACACCTTGTCTATTCCTATCATTATTTTGTATGTTTTGATTGATTGTTGCCGCCGGAGGTGGATAGTTTATTGTGCACCCCATACCCATCCTGTGAGCGGTAGCGCAAAAAGCATTACAGAGGGCACAAAAGGTCTTTATCAGACCTCATCTTAGATTATTGCATAAACAATTTCGTCTATCCTTCACACCTTATAGTTACAATGTCAGCTAGTTACAGAGAATGTTCTATTTCAAGAGCTATATATTTACAGTAGGTCATTATACATTAATGGTAGGTCCTATCGCTAATACATAATAGTTTGACCAATGGGGATATTACAGAGTCATAGGGAGCTTCTGTTTATTATTAGTCTTCACAGTACACTACTTGTTTCTGAATCTCATATGTCGTTTATCTACTGGTAGCGAAATATGGATACAGTGCAAGGATTTCAGGTAATTTATACAGGGTAATAAGATAGGTTGCCATATCATACAGAGTGAGCTAAGATTTATCTCTAAATGGCTCAATTTTACTACAATCCAAGATATAGTGTTCGAGTGTGTGTTCCTGTCTTTGTCCACACACTTTACACTTCATCTAGATCCCTATACAATCCGAACTGCCAGAGATACTTGTAGCCAAGTGTTATACGAGCTGTGACAATATCTGTTAGTCTACTGACTTTGTTACTTGCCCCATAGACATGTTTTACTTTACACATTTCATTGTGATGAGCAATGGACCTGCTAGTTCCAGTTTGCACTGTTCTACTTTCTTCAAATTCATCCAGGAGTTCTTATCTAATGACACTTTAAAGGGACCTATTTGATAACTCAAGATTCCGTTCAATACTGTCTTTATTTACTGCAGCCTTTGCAAGGGCGTCAACTTTGTCATGTTCCTGCAGGCCAATGTGAGAAGGAATCCACAACGTTTTTATATTTACCCTCTTGCTAAGTATTCTTATATATCTACGTCTAGCTTCCAAGACAAGCACGTCATTACTTGACTGCAAACTGTTTATTGCTCGTAGTGAGGAAAGGGAGTCGGATATAATTAAGCTGTTGTGATCATATACCCTTTGGGTTTTTTCTGTCCTCTAGGGTTGTAAGATTTAATTCCAATAGCTTATTTATGTACCTTAACCATCTTTACTCCGGCACCAAATCGTGTTGCAAATATTTGTTCTTCAATTTTGGCTTTAGGCTTTGCAAGATGCGGATTTCATGCCGGTGAGGAATATTCCAGTATTGCTCGAACAAATGTGGTGTAGATTGTCTTGAAGGATTGTCTTGTAAACGATTCTTCGCGGCGGGGATCGTATTCCAGGGACCTGCCCGAAACGCTACGCGTACTAGTGGCTGTACAAGAATGTAACAACTCTTGTATATATCTCAAAAAAAAAAAAAAAAAGACTCCAGATTTAGCTTCATAAACAATGTTCTTATATTTGTCAGCGTCCCATATGCTGTCAATGCTATTTATGTGTCTACGGTCTTAATGATGGAACTTAAATCCACTCTAAAAATCTTAACCTCTTTCCGATCCCTGTAGTTGCCTTCCCCTTATGGTGTAGATGTCTTCTGGTGTCCTCCCTCCCTCCCTTCCCTATCTTCTTTACCATGCACTGGTTGGGACCGAGTTCCAGCAACCATTTGTTTGACCACTCCTGGAGTATGTCCAGATCCTCTTGTGTCTTCCTGCAGTCCTCTTGTGTGTGTACCTTCATCGTCAGCTTTACGTCTGGGAACATTGGCATGTTCCAGCTCACTCCCTCGGGTAGCTCCTTCACATAATTTAGAAAGAGCAGCGAATTGGTGGTGCTAAGGTGGGACGCTGTGATGTGTTGGGGGTGGGGAAAGGGGGTGTTGGTGGAGTAGTGTTGGTGGAGCGTGGTGTATTGGAGGTTTTTGTGGTTTTGTGGGGTGTTGGTGTTGGGTGGAGTGTGTTTGTGCCCGGAGGGGGGGGGGAAGAGTTAGGGGTTTTGGTGGAGGGTAGGGGTTTGTTTGGGGGGGGGAGGGGAGTTGGTGGGGGTGTTAAAGCAATGTCATAGAAATTTTGCTATACATCTCTACCCTATTGTGACTCATCGTCTGCATATCTCACCCTAATAAAGGGCGTCTGATCTAGAAGTGTTATCGGTAGAATCTTCAGTTCCCCAATAGGGAGAATTTTAACGTTTTCTTAATCTTGAGGAGCAGGAAGATTATTCATAATAGTCTTCCCTTCACATCCCAGGTAATGTATTAGTTGGGATACGAGGACAGCCTGTAAAGAGCTGGGATACGAGGACAGAGTATGTGTTGTTCCCTCGTTGGGATATTGTTAGTGATCCCCAGTTAGTGCATGTGTCCAGATCCCTAAGATAATGTGTTTGTATCGCTCGCTAACGAGTTCGTATTGATAATAAGAGACCACGAGTCTCCGTGGTGTAGTGGTAAGACATTCTCCTGGTGTTCCGCGAGCGCTTTGTCATGGTTCGTATCCTGGCCGGGGAGGATTAACTCAACAGTAAAATGTGTACTTGATTGTAACAACGATTCTTCGTGGGGAGTCGTATTCCAGGGACCTGCCCGAAACGCTACACGTACTAGTGGCTGTACAAGAATGTAACAACTCTTGTATATATCTCAAAAAAAAAGTTAGTGTATGTGTGTTCGTTAGGTAACATAGGCGTTAATAACTCATTAGCTTGTGTGTGTGTGACCAATAAAATTGCAATAACGCGATTTATAAATAAACAAATGTTGAGTTAATGGAGTGGGATCGAACTCGCGTTTCTGGACTCTCCAGACACACACACACACACACACTCGTTGTTTATGCTTGTTCTCGTTAGCGAAGGTGAAGATAACTCGTTAGCGTGTGTGTTCGACGTCGTAGATGATAACACCTTAGCCTGAGGGGTTTAAATTGTCTGCGGTGATTTAGTGGTTACAGAACAATTACTTGGTACGTGGGGTGTGGAGGCCGGTCCGCTTCCTTAGGAGTTACGAAGGCTGGCTAGATGGCTGGCTTGAAGACTGGTGTGAAGGTTCTTGTGTGTTGTAGCTTGTAGAGCTACAACAAGCTTGTAGCTTCTAGAGCTTGTGAGAGGGCCTTGGAGGTTATATGTAAGTAATATGCATAATATGCGTTGTATGTGAGTAATATGCGCAGAACCGGTGAGTTTATTTTTATACAAAGCTTACAGGATAAGAGATTTTACAGGCATTGATTATGTTCATGACAGTTGGGAGCTTAGAGGTTGTTGGGAGTTTGGGCGCTGTGGGAGTTTGGGCGCTGTGGGAGTTTGGGCGCTGTGGGAGTTTGGGCGCTGTGGGAGTTTGGGCGCTGTGGGAGTTTGGGCGCTGTGGGAGTTTGGGAGCTGTGGGAGTTTGGGAGCTGTGGGAGTTTGGGAGCTGTGGGAGTTTGGGAGCTGTGGGAGTTTGGGAGCTGTGGGAGTTTGGGCGCTGTGGGAGTTTGGGAGCTGTGGGAGTTTGGGAGCTGTGGGAGTTTGGGAGCTGTGGGAGTTTGGGCGCTGTGGGAGTTTGGGCGCTGTGGGAGTTTGGGCGCTGTGGGAGTTTGGGCGCTGTGGGAGTTTGGGCGCTGTGGGAGTTTGGACGTTGCGGGGGGTTTGGAACGCTATAGAAATTTTGAACGTTGTTGACACATGGAAGCCGCAGTGAAGGTTTGCTCGTGTAGGGAGCTGTGAGGCTGCCAGAGTGATTGACTCGTGAAATGTCAGGTGAGAGAGAGTTAATGACACTATTTAAAGAACACATCGACCACTTAATGTAGGGCAGACGTTACTCTGTATCTAAGCATTTATGTCTGTAGGTTAGAATAGCATTTTAAAAGCACTAAAATCACCTTCTGTGGTTGTTCAATAAATCCCTGAACGATATGTTTAACAGATCTCTCACCCTGTCCATGTGTGCAGCCACGTCTGTGGTATAAAATAATAATAACTAATAACTAATAATAATAATAATAATAATAATAATTATTATTATTATTATTATTATTATTATTATTATTAAGCCGAGAGTGGTGGGGAGGCTTGTGTTTCCTGAGGCAGGCTGTCTGCCTCGTCTTGCGTATCCCTCCACACCACCACCCCAGCCATACACAACACCCCCTACCCCCCTCTTACCACACCAAAACAAACACACACACACCATACACAGAGGCTGCAGGCAAGAAAGGCTAGAGAGGTGGGATCCAAGAGTCAATGCTCTATTCTGCAAGCACAAATAGGCGAGTACACACACCTCTCACACCACCAACACACAAAGTAGTGAATGTCATATAGTATTTCTTGTTTATTACACGTCTCGGTGTTATATATAAAATATTACTAATCATGTTTGTGTCTTCCACAGATCGCCAGCCCCAAGCGCCCCGTGCCCAGCGCCCCGTGCCCGTGGCAGCTTCTTCCATCACGTCCAGATGCGAGCTTGACGCCCGTCCGCTGCCTGCAAGGTAACGATCATTCTCTTCCCTTGTCTCATACCTCCCATGCTTGCCTCGTTTCCTCTCTACCAGTCTCACCCCATTCATGTTTATCACCAAAGGAGGTACTAAAGCAGAGGGGGTAAATATTTACATTGCACAAAAGCAGTGTAAAAGATGCTTTAGTAATCATGTCGGAAGACCTTACTTTCAAAGAGGGAGGGAGGGAATTATCGGGGGAAAGCGCCAAGCCATGACGACTATATAGCACTTGGAAAGGGTCAGGATAAAGATTTGGAATGGGACGGGGGAAAGGAATGGTGCCCAACCACTTAGACGGTCGGGGATTGAACGCCGACCTGCATGAAGTGAGACCGTTGCTCTACCGTCCAGTCCAAGGGGTTGGACTTACTTTTAAAGAACACAATAAAGTAACTGTCACAACATCAAAAAGAAAAGACAGGTTCGATAACAAACAAGGACCTTCCAAACAAGAGATACCAAACCAATGACACTAAGACACTAGTGCTCTCTAGGGTGGAGTATGGTTGCTCACTAACAGCCCCAGTCACAGCTAGAGAATTTGTTGACCTGGAGAACGCGTGAAGATGTTATACAGTCAGAATCGACTCAATAAAACATCTAAATTATAGGGACCGCTTAACATTTTTTAAATCTGCATTCCCTAGAGCGCAGGCGGGAGAGACATAATATTTTACACTTGATAAATACTAAAGGTCCTGGTTCTAAATCTGCACATGGAGATAACAACACATTAGACCAGGAGACGTGTCAGGAAGTGCAAAAGAGCCTTGTTGAAAAGCAGAGGTGCAATAGGTACGCTGAGAGAGAACTTTTATCAACATGAAGGGGCCAAGACTTTCACTATAAACATAAGGGGCATAACTAGCCGACCTTTCGCGGTGTTCAAAAGAGAACTTGATAAACACCTTCAAATGATACCTGATCAGCTGGGCTGTGATTCACACGTCAGGCTGCGAGCAGCTGTGTCCAACAGCCTGATTGACCAGACCACCAACCATCAGGAGACCTGGTCAGAGACCTGGCCAGACACCTGGCCGCCGATGGGACGTTGGTTCTAGGAGCCAACTATAAAGGTTAACCAAAGGTAAGGTCCCTCATCCCAATTTCCCGTCCACCTACTTTCTCCCTTCATGACCTACCTTCTCCCTTCATGACCTACCTTCCTGATTCACTCAGCACCTAACTTTCTAGTATAACATCCAGATCAGTTATTCATGAGCACAGCCACACTCACAGTTCCTCCGAGAGGAAAGTCGGTGGGGCGGACGAGGTCATCCCGCTCTGCTCTGCTGGCGGGAAAATACCCGGTGTGTCTACCAGTGTTGGTTGGGGAAAAAAGTTCTAAATGAATGGGGGGCGGATCAGGAGTCTTGTTTCCTTGACAAGATGATCGAAGATCATGGAGGAAATTCATGCTTCACATCCTGTCTTCACCCGGTATTACGGCAGATGGGTCCCCATTGTCAAGGGGACAGGTAGGAAGCTTCTTTGGGTTTTAGAAGTCGATATCTCCCCTTTGCCTAGGCCAACGACTGACTGCCCCACACGGTACAACCCACAACAGTTGGCTAACACCCGGGAACTTGTTTACAGCTTAGGAAACAGAGGCGTCCGTTGTAGAGAAAACGTGCCCAACGCCTCGCACTGCCTTGGATCTATTTAAATTCCTACTGTGGATTTACATTTCTGGTAATAAAAACATGTCACAACGATTTACACCACAACTTCATATAATGTTTAATTTTATTTAAAAGCGTTTGGACTGGTCGACGCACTGATAATTAGCTTCTTGCATTTTTTTCCAACCACTTGGGCTGGACGGTAGAGTCTCGCTTCGTGCAGGTAGGCGTTCAATCCCCGACCGTCCATGTGGTTGGGCACCATTCTCCCCCCCCCCCCCCGTCCCATCCCAAATACTTATCCCGATTTAATCCCAGTGCTATATAGTCGTGATGGCTTGGCGCTTTCCTCAATTTTTTTCATATTCTTTGGGGGGAGGGGGTATATCTTAAATTTCCTCTTTCTTGTATGATCGGCGTTTGATGCTCGGTGCTCCATGGGGTTGGCCACTGTCCCTTCACTCCGTCCTCGCATCCCAGGACCTGGTCCTCCTATCCCTTTCCAGTGCCATGAAGTCGTTCTGGCCTAACGCCTTCTGATCATGACTTTACCTTCGCCGCTGTGACTGATGCTGGGTCCCTGAGGGCATCAGAGGGACGAGGAGAGGGCCGGGCATCTATTCCCAGTGGTCGGAGTGGCTCTTGTGTCGTCGTCGTGATCGTGGTGCGAGGCTCGAGCTGCGGGGCTGGTAACTGTGTGGGTTATAGGAAAGTCTTAATTGGTCTTTATCAGTCTTTGAGGAGAGGAGTGTTGTGGTACTCTCATAGTAACATAAGTAGAGTACATGTACATAGGATGTACACGGGAGTACATCCTTTGTATTCCCGTGTACACAGGATGGTGTAGTTGTGACGGACCCGTGTACACAGGATGGTGTAGTTGTGACGGACCCGTGTACACAGGATGGTGTAGTTGTGACGGACCCGTGTACACAGGATGGTGTAGTTGTGACGGACCCGTGTACACAGGATGGTGTAGTTGTGACGGACCCGTGTACACAGGATGGTGTAGTTGTGACGGACCCGTGTACACAGGATGGTGTAGTTGTGACGGACCCGTGTACACAGGATGGTGTAGTTGTGACGGACCCGTGTACACAGGATGGTGTAGTTGTGACGGACCCGTGTACACAGGATGGTGTAGTTGTGACGGACCCGTGTACACAGGATGGTGTAGTTGTGACGGACCCGTGTACACAGGATGGTGTAGTTGTGACGGACCCGTGTACACAGGATGGTGTAGTTGTGACGGACCCGTGTACACAGGATGGTGTAGTTGTGACGGACCCGTGTACACAGGATGGTGTAGTTGTGACGGACCCGTGTACACAGGATGGTGTAGTTGTGACGGACCCGTGTACACAGGATGGTTGTACAGCGTATGTTATGTCAGTTTATGGACGCTGTACACAACATTCATTAACGAGATACTAGAGGGGTTGATGCCAAACCTGCACACAGAAATAACACCACACGAGATCAGGAGGCATGGCAGGATGTGCAGAATACCCCCCCGTTGAAGAGCAGAGGTGTAACAGGTACTCTGAGAGAGAACTCTATCAACATCAGAGGCCCGAGACTGTTCAACACGCTTCCGCTACACATAAGGGGTATAACTGACCGACCCCTCAGTGTGTTCAAGAGAGAACTAGATAAATACCTCCAATAGATACCTGATCAACCAGGCTGTGACTCAAACGTCAGGCTGCGAGCAGCCGCGTTCAACAGCCTGGTTGACCAGTCCAGCAACGAGGAGGCCTGGTTGGAGACCGGGCCGCGGGGCTGTTGATCCCCGGAAGCTGCACAAGGTAGCCACAAAGCAGGGTGATGGTGTTGGTTGTATTTACCTATCGGTGTCTACGGGGAAGTGAGGTCTAGCTCCCTATCCCCGCCTCCGGCCTGGTCGTACTTGCTGCGCGATTATTTAACTTCTGACTTTTGAATTTGTTGTAAAATCTGGCCTTAAAGTCGTGGATGGAGGTGGCTTCCACAGCTTCTCTCACCACATTCCACGTGTTTTATCTCACTCGTGCAGGGTGCGAGTATTACCTTATATTTCTCGGATTCATTTGTATTTCCAGCTTCCATTTATGCAAGGTGGAGGCATGCCCTCTCCTACTTTCTCTCAGTTTTAAAAAGTCTGTCCTTTTCCATCTTGTCAATTCCCCTCAGTATCTTGTACGTTGCAATCATGTCTCCTCTGTTTCTTCCCTTCTCAAGGGTTTGTGAGGTCTAGTTCCTTTAACCCTCTTGAGGTTCGACACTAATGATATTGAAACCTTTGGACGTTTAAGCTGTAGTTTTATACTTCACCTGATGCGGGTTCCAGGCCGGTGCGGCATATTCCAGTATTGAAATAAGTTTATTGAGGTAAAATACACACAAAGGGATGAGGTAGCTCAAGCTATTCTCACCCCGTTATTCCAGTATTGGTTTAGTAAGATTTGTGTATATTTTCTTGAACGAGATCTGATTTAGGTTTCTAAAGGACGTTGTAATATTTGGCAGCGTTCCTTATGCTGCTGATGTTACCACCACCTCTATAACTAGGTGTTAGTAGTGGTGATGTTGGTAGTAGTGGTGGTGGTGTTGATGTTGGTAATAGTAGTGGTGGTGGTGACACCGACAGTTTATCAACACATTCGCTTTGCTCTCTACACATTCTCCCTCCCCCCCCCTCTCCTGCCCCTCTCCCCCCCCCTCTCCTGCCCCTCTCCCCCCCTCTCTCCTGCCCCTCTCCCTACCTCTCTCTCCTGCCCCTCTCCTGCCCCTCTCCCCCTCACGGGGGGGGAGGGGGTTCACGTTACTAGCTCGCCTGGCTAGTACCGAGCCACAGACACATGTACAGGTGATGCCGAGTAATGGTAAAATGGGTGACACGGCTGGTGGTGGTGACCTTCCTGGGGGGCACGGCTGGTGGTGGTGACCTTCCTGGGGGACACGGCTGGTGGTGGTGACCTTCCTGGGGGGGCACGGCTGGTGGTGGTGACCTTCCTGGGGGGGCACGGCTGGTGGTGGTGACCTTCCTGGGGGGCACGGCTGGTGGTGGTGACCTTCCTGGGGGGCACGGCTGGTGGTGGTGACCTTCCTGGGGGGCACGGCTGGTGGTGGTGACCTTCCTGGGGGACACGGCTGGTGGTGGTGACCTTCCTGGGGGATACGGCTGGTGGTGGTGACCTTCCTGGGGGCCACGGCTGGTGGTGGTGACCTTCCTGGGGGATACGGCTGGTGGTGGTGACCTTCCTGGGGGGGCACGGCTGGTGGTGGTGACCTTCCTGGGGGGCCACGGCTGGTGGTGGTGACCTTCCTGGGGGACACGGCTGGTGGTGGTGACCTTCCTGGGGGGCACGGCTGGTGGTGGTGACC